TTATTTCCATTGTGCTGTAATCTATAATTGCGATATACTACACACACACACACACAGACACACTCATACTCAGCTAGTGTGTATACGGACAGTCGCACATATACTAGCAAACGCCACGACCAAGACGCCCCCGCTTTGCCCTTGAGCTGGCATAGTAAGAAGCATTCGATTTTTCACAACAAGACGTGAAAAACGCAAAAAAAGAAGAAGGAAATACTTACGACTGAATAAAGTTTGCGCAGCTTACGATAAAGAAATAGAAAATTACATATAAATATATACAAATTTACACTTAGAAATATCTATATACATATTTATACAAAAAAGGAAGTGTTAGGCGTTCGAAATGGATGTGCTCAATCAAATACTCAACATTAATGCTGGTGGCGCCTATGGCGGTGGCAAGGCGGGTGGCGCCTTCGATCCGGTAACGTTTGCCATGAAGCCTCAAGTAGTCATACGCGCCCTCTGTTGGGTAAGTTAAATAAAGCACACACACACACACACATAAACACACACACACGCATGAGTGTACACAGGATATAAGCGAGGTTGCCTTGTGAAGTTATGCAGGAAATCCCAAATGGCATAGAATTTTAACTACCAATAAATGCAAAGATATTTTTCATTTGCAGTTCCTTTTTAAAAATGCGATCAATTTAAATTTATATGCATACACACACATAAATTGTACATATATAAGAGATATTTATTTCTCATGTGAATTGATTAAAATTTGATTTTGTTTGCAAGTTAATAGAATTGAAACAATTAACAATGACGAGAGACACAGCTGTGCAGCTGGCACTAAAAGTCGCACGACTATGAAAATTTGAAATAAAGGCCATCAATGGCCAACAACAACAATTGCCATGTGTAATGGCCAGCTAGTGCGTCATAGCGGCCATTGGCAACTGAGGATAGAAAACAGTTAATAGTCATTTAGAAGCATGGTTTGCTTTCGTTTACATTTAATAGCAATTTGTGCTGAGAGAGGCTCACACAAACACAAACACACACACACACACACTTGTAAGCTATATTTATACAAGAATAACATAATACAAGAAAGTTGGTGACGGGCGGTGGGGGGTTTCTGTCAGTTGGCCAAGTTTAGCCAAGGACCTGCTTTGTTATTGCAGTTAGCATTGCCTATCCCCAGGCGCTGCTTATGCTCGCTAAACTTGGCCTTCACTTAAAATTGGGTCACAAACCTAAATACGTCTTTCTCCCTCTCTCTCTCTCTCTATCTCTTTACGTGTGTTTGTGAGTGTACTTGAACTTCTGGTTTATTGCACCTGCTCTTTAAAATCAATACCTATACATATATATGTATTTATACATACATATATTTCATTACGCACTGTGTGTATCAGATCGTATTACAATCTTTAGTATACTTGTTAAATTTATTTACTTTATCATTATTCAATAATAAAAATGTGGCTTTTTGTGTTAACTCTGGTCAGCTGTTCTCCATTGTGGTCTTTGGCTGCATATCCTCCGAGGGCTGGGTCGAGAAGGATGGCAAGGACATGTGCTTGTACAATAACGATGGCATGGCCTGCAAATATGGCAATACCATTGGCATCTTCGGATTTCTCGCCTCCATGTACTTCATTGGCGGCGAGTTCATGTTCGAGCGCATGTCCTCGGTGAAGAGCAGAAAGCGTTATGTCATGGGCGACATGGCATTCTCAGGTGAGACTCACAAATCTCTTTAAGATTTTTTAGTTCCTTTGCTTACATGTATATGTCTCCTTGTGCAGCTGCTTGGGCCTTCTTGTATTTCATTGCATTCTTCTACTTGTGGTCCCAGTGGAGCGCAGCACCCATGCCTCCGCAAGGCATTGGCGCCGGCAGCATGAAGACGGCCATTGTATTTTGTTTCTTCAACATCTTTAGCTGGGTGAGTTGAGGGGTCACTTAACCAGTTGCTTGAACTAGTCTCATGTCTCAACTCCTGCAGGCTCTGTGCGCATTTATGGCCTACAAACGTTTTCTGATTGGCGCCGGCGACGAGTTCACCTCGGCCTTTGAGACAGACCCGGCCAATGTGGTGCACCAGCAGGCCTACAGCTACTCCATGGACAACGACAATGAGCAGTATAGCGCCTCACCATTCGGACAGCCACAGCAGGGTAAGCTATATTCTATACATTGATTATTATTGAATATTATTAATCCCATAGCTTCTCTTGCAGGCATGGAGCAGCAGTCGGGCATGGAGTATCAGCAACCCACCTACTAAGCGTATCTCTTAGCTAGTTGTGCCACGTCTCCGTTGTCGACACACACATTTTTTGGTAGTGCTAATGGCAAATACAATTTTTACACCAACTGCAACTATATATCTAGTACACAAAGTTGGCTTAACTTATTACACCGATGTCAAGCATATACGAATAACAACAACCACAACAACAACAACAACAACAACAACAAACAACAGCAGCAGCAGCAACACCAATTGCTTTAGCAGGGAATAAGCGTAAGCAGCTAGCCCAACTGCTCAGTTAATCGCCCTATCCTTATACAGAATAATATTAATGATAATAATTTATAAGCTAGCCCCTAAGTTGTGTGTGTGCAGTTTTTGTAGTGAAAATTTGTTGCAATATATATATACGTATATATACGACTATATACATATAATATTATGCTAAATACTGTATGTATGTATATCTATATATATATATACATATATACAAATACTTATGCTTTAAACGTTGTTAGTTATTTAGTATTAACATTTCTTGTGCAAGACCCTGGCCACCTGAGTCCCGGTCAGCTTTGGATTTGGCTTCATAAGCGTATGCGAAAATGTTTTTTAGACAAATTTACACACGCCAGCAGTTAAACGATATAGTAATTGAACCCACACACTAGTTAACTAGCAGACATCACAAGAACTGCTCAAAACATATCCATTTTACAACCAAGCCCAACCCGGAGAAGCATGCATGCGCATTTTTACACAATCAACTCTTTCTTCAGCTCTAGTTCTATTGAAAGCTCAGGAGCAGGAGCAGGTGTAGGACCTGTGGCCAGGGTTGCTTGAACCTTAGCGAATATAAATATAAAAATATTTATTAATATATATGAGAAAACAATAAAACACAACGCCAAAATGTAAAAAATTCTAAAATTGAATTTCAGCTAAAATTTGTTAAATGAAAAATTCTAGAACGGCTCCATGGGGTATTGCAAATATTTACAAATTTTACAAATCTGTTTGTCGAGTTTTTCAAATAGTATTAGTGTGAGAAGTGAGCCCCAAAAAATAACTCACCCAACTAATATTCAGTAGGCAACAAGCTCTTAAATATCAGTATTTAACAAAAAATGAAATTAACAATAAACACAATTAGAAACAATCTCAAATAATTTAGTATTATTATTAACAAAAACAAAAACAAGAATATGTAATTCATTTCGGGTTTTGCATCAAATATACTAACTTCATATATTATTATAACTGTAATTATTTATTAGACAAATTTTTGAAAAAGTAAATATGAATTGAGAGCGCATTTGGACCCCAGAGAATTGTTAACCCACATAAGAATTGTATAGTGCAATGGAAACAAATATATACATATATATATTCACGCTATACAATTGGAAATTAATCAATATCAATGAATGTAAACATATTTCAATAATTAAACATAAATGTTTGTTTAGAGCAGCATCTAATTATGATACACTATGAGAGAATTTGTTAAACAAAACAAAATATATATATTATATATTTATGTATTGTATATGTAACTTGTGTAAGCCAGCTGTATGTATATGTATGTTGTATGTGCAAAAGGCTAAAGCAAAACTAATATAAAATATAAACAAGAAAGGAAAATAACCAAAAGCAGTTCATGTAAAACTCTATTAACAGCCAAAAAAGGAAAAAAAAAAAAACCAAGACACTAATTCGCAGTAAAAATTTATATAAATTAATCATGTAGAAATCGTGAACGTTAAATAATTAAAACAAATTTATGCATTCAGACACAGGTTGACAGAAAATACTATAAATAATGCCATATTATGTGTAATCGGTACAAAACGAGGCAAAATTATAAATGTACTTGTTTGAAAATCAGCGAACAATAATGTAATAAAACCAATCCCAACTAAAACCAATGGAAAGCAAAATGAAACCATTCAATAAATTATGACACATATTTTTAAAAACCAATTAACATAAGTTTAAGCAATTGGGATTCACTATAATGGGAGCTGAATGATTTATCAGCTGGAGTTACTATCCTAACTCAATCAACGTCTATTTTGTTCCGATAACGGTTTCTCTGCTAATTTTATATCGCGAAATTGGTGGAGAGGATGTTTCAATTTTTGATAACTACATTTCAGCTTTTATATAAGTCATCAATGCCATTCGGAACGTTTAATCCGATTTGCCATTTATTCAAAAATAATTTAATTTCTGTGGAGCGTGTTGGAATAATATTAAAGAGTTTAGCAAACTTGCTGTTTGTAAATTTGGCCATCATGATGACGTCTTTACAGAGGCATCATTATACGATTTTAAATTGAATTGAGCATTCATTTGACGAATATTAATTTGAAGGAAATATCGCAAACTACGCCCACATTCGAACCTATTGAGCCGAGCTGAATCCAGCACTATGAATTTATTGGGTCCGCAACCACTCTTAAATTTAGATCCCTTAGAACTATGATTTTGTTAAGCCAAAGGCCCCAGTTGACAGTGCATAAAATTTAAGTTAGTCTGAAAAATTATCAGTTGTTTTTATGAGGATTTACTAATTTAAGTTTCAAGTTTATCATTCTCTATAAGTTATTATCTCATTATTTCACTATTATCTCAAGATCAAGGCCTATATAACTACCTTTCCATTTCTATGACTACATAAATATGTTTAGTAAACTTAACGCAAATATGTTTTCAAATTTGTCATTATCTTTTATTATCATTCATATAATTTTTTCTACAAACTATGGTAACAAAAAATAAACAATAGACAAATGAAAGGCAAATACTTAAAAAATGGTGAAGCTAGGAGAGCGAGAAGGGGAGCTGGGATGTATGTATATATGTATATGTATCTACAGTATGGGGTAGCTGCACTCGCTGGCAATGCCACAGAAATTGCTGGGAGTGCGCGCTAGTCGGAAGAATCCAGCCTCGCCCCAGTTCTGCGAATATGAGTTCTTGACAATCCAATAGTCACGTCCGTTTTCGCTGCCGTAGCCAACAACAGTGACGGAGTGATTGACCTCCTCATTGTTGCACTCCGGGTCATCGTAAATGCCGGACTTGTATTGCTGGAAGGATACGGGAGATCCGTTCATGGAACAGGCCAGTGGACCCAGCGTGGCAATAATTTGCTTCATTAAATCCTGATCGCCTGGCGGGATGCTTGCATAGTCGCGCACCTTGACAATGCTGTCACGTGGAGGTGCACCAGCCGTCTGATTCTGCCGGCAAACCATATTTTCGGACTGCTCGTACGGATACTTATTGGCCAGCGTAACTCCGTGATCTCGTATATACTCGAAGCCGTACTCCTGAAAGCCGCCGTCGCAGCCTTCAGTACCATAGGCGTCGGCGCAATCCACCAGATTCTGCTGCGACAGCGGCACGAGCACACCCGTTCGCCGGAACAGGTGACCCTCGAGTGCACTTATCGTCGCAAACGCCCAGCACGAACCGCACGGCCCCTGTGAGCCGGGCGGAGTAACGCCTCCCTTCTCACGCCAATCAAAAGATTCCGGCAGAGACTCCAGTGGCTTTCGGGCGGGCAAGAAGCTAATGTGGGTCGAAATTAATTCTCTGAAATAAAGAGGAGAAGCGAAATAGTGAATGCACGTATATACATATATCTACGTATCTACATATGTATCTATGTATCTACAAATGTATCTACAAATGTATCTACAAATGTATCTACAAATGTATCTACAAATGTATCTAGGAATGTATCTAGGAATGTATCTAGGAATGTATCTAGGAATGTATCTAGGAATGTATCTACAAATGTATCTACAAATGTATCTAGAAATGTATCTAGAAATGTATCTAGAAATGTATCTAGAAATGTATCTAGAAATGTATCTAGAAATGTATCTAGAAATGTATCTAGAAATGTATCTAGAAATGTATCTAGAAATGTATCTAGAAATGTATCTAGAAATGTATCTAGAAATGTATCTACAAATGAATCTACAAATGAATCTACAAATGAATCTACAAATTTATCTATGTATCTATATATCTATGTATCTATATATCTATATATCTATATATCTATATATCTATATATCTATATATCTATGTATCTATGTATCTATGTATCTATATATATATATATCTATATATCTATATATCTATATATCTATATATCTATATATCTATATATCTATATATCTATGTATCTATGTATCTATGTATCTATGTATCTATGTATCTATGTATCTATTTATCTATGTATCTATGTATCTATTTATCTATGTATCTATGTATCTATGTATCTATGTATCTATGTATCTATGTATCTATGTATCTATGTATCTATGTATCTATATATCTATTTATCTATTTATCTATGTATCTATGTATCTATGTATCTATGTATCTATGTATCTATGTATCTATGTATCTATGTATCTATGTATCTATGTATCTATGTATCTATGTATCTATGTATCTATGCATCTATGTATCTATGCATCTATGTATCTATGTATCTATGTATCTATGTATCTATGCATCTATGTATCTATGTATCTATGTATCTATGTATCTATGCATCTATGTATCTATGTATCTATGTATCTATGAATGGCATCTATGATATCATACTCGCCAATAGCTGTGCGCTTAGAGCCAAGCAGTGGGTTTGTTTCCTTCGTTGTCATATCGGAGAACACGTTGATGGTGAGAGTATAGCTGGTGACATAAATGTTGGATAGATCCACAACTGTCTTCGTTTTGATAAATATGCTCTTGCGGAACTCGAGCTCATTTTCGTCTAAGTAGATCTTTCCCGTTTGCCGTAGAAAGTCATCGAAGTTGCTGACTTTCGTGAGCTTGGGAAATAATTGCAGCGTTTGCAATGAGACAGCACTTAAGCAGGCGAACAGCAACAGCAGCTGCAGCATCCGCACTTTGCACATCCTCATCTAAACGGCGAAATGGCGAGAGATGATCGAGAGTTCGATGATGTAAAAGTGAAAACGATTAGATAACAGTTATGGATGGGCAGGTGTATCCATCTAGAAATTACTCTAGCAAATTGATGTACTCTATGCAAAGCCATCATGTTTATTACAGTCAAAACAACTGTGGGAAGTCTTTTAAATACATTCTCAAATTTGTATCGCGTGAATTCTAAGAATAGATAAGCAATAATAAACATTTCGACACTTGATAGCAGACAATTAGTTGAGATAAGTTTTATATCCAAAGTTTTTTTTTATCGAGTGGAACATTATTGTTATTTTTTTTTTTTTTTTTTTCTAATTTAATACACTGGAGTTTTTGGTTACACCATACACAGTTTGACTTGATCTTGCTTCATTTTTTATCTTCGCGTGCAATGTTGAAGTTTAATTTTAAAGGGTTTCATTAGGTTTCGACTGCTTGCTTAGATTGATGAGATTCGATTTATTTTATTTGAATATATGCACAAAATTAAATGATGATTCGCGTTCGATTCGTATCTCTTTTTTCTGCCCTTGGCGGGGAAATTACGTTGAAAACAAAAACAAATACAACTGTTTGTCATGAATATTAATTTCACTTTCGATAATTCAAATTATCACATTTCATAGGATTTTGATGCGGGTGAAAGGCGCTGAGTCATCGCATCTGAGAACATGGGGATCTTAATAACTAATTATTGCAAGCACACACACACTCTTATATCCATTTATCCATATGAACAAGCTGCACACTAATCACCTTTTGTTGTAATTATATTTTATATCCACTATTGTTGGCTTTTGGCTGTGCACCTCTTTTAGTATGAAGATCTTATAGAGAGATGCTGCTGCCTCGACCGCTGCACACCTATTAGCGCGCGGTGGCGATAGGCGTTTCCATTTTATAGGCCCTGGCTTTGACCATAAATCCAAAGACAAAATTCAAAAACCTGCTCAGCATAAGTCCAAGCATCATCTTCCAATTTCCTATACTCTGTGTGAGAAACACACCTCACACTAAATTTATTCACTGGAACTGGTCACCTACTAAGCGTATAAAGCGTAAACTGTTTCTAGTAACTAAGCAAAAAAAAAAAACTTATAAATGACGTAGACACTCCAAGCATAATTTGTATTAAATTATGTGAGCTCTTGGCCAGATGTGGAATTTTTGGTATAATCTGAGAAAAATGAATAAATTATTTTGAATAGTTCTTGACGATAAACATACACATGCTTCGTTTATAGATGTTTCGGCCTTAGCATGTTCTTGCAAATCAGTTCAGTTTTAAGACGGATTACCAAAATTCCTAAAATGCGTGGGCACATTAAAAGTCGCATGGGCAAAAGGCTCTTCGGTTTTATAGGCCCTGTTTTGGCCAGCGATCCAAAAGCTTAAACAAAAAAAAAAAAAAAAAAAAAAAAAAAAAAAAAAAAATACTTTGTTAGCAGAAGCCCAAGGTTCATAATAAAATTTCTTGTACAATTTTCCGTGTCGCTTCAAATTACTAATTTGAACAGCTTAATTTTTCCCATCTAGCATATTAGCTGTAACTGGTTTTTAGCAGCAGATTAAATTGCCTTTAGCACGTGTAGAAAAATCAAACATAATTTTCGTAAAATTTATGTAAGCTCGGAAATGTCAGTTTACTTGTTAATTAAATTATGAACATCATAATTGTTTAAAATCAATTTTATTTTTACGATTAACATAGACATTGTGTTTTTCATAAATGCTTCAGCATAAATAAATAAACACAACTATGAGGCGGTTCACGGTGAAGCAACGAGGTCTTAATACTCTCACTGATACAGAGATATATAAAATATGAGATTGGCTTAATTTATGATACATATGATTACTATGATAAAATAGGATTATGATTTGAAGCTTAACTATAAATTAAGTTTAATATTTTGGCTAAAAAAATGTTCAAAGGAATTATAAAAACATAAATAATTAATTTATTATATAATTTTTACAGTTCTAGTTATTTTTTTTTTTTTATTTATTGCAATAATACATTAATATTTATTTGTATCAAGTTACTCATTTTTTATGATTTATTAATTGTTATTAATATTAATTTCATATTTATTTTTACTCTTAAGCTTACGCAGTTACAATACTCCCTGTAAGAGCAAACAATTTCCATTTCTAGCGAAAAGAGTTAATAAATGGAACCAGTTTGGTAGGCGTACAGTCCAGACGATACATAAATTTAATTTATTGTTGCACCTTAATTATCAAATACTAAAAATATTGATGGAAGAAATGTTTCTATTTCTCCCATATGTAGCTTCAGTGAGATATAACTTTACTTTTACATTTCATGTCGATAAACAGGTCAAACAGGTATAAATGAATTTACCAATTTCAAGTTACAAGTATAAATGATAAATCTGATAGAAATAAAAAACAAAAATTGATTTAAATTTATTCAAAATTAATTAACTTAAAAAGCGAATAGAATATCAATATAATGAATACATAATCAAGAAATAAAAGGGGATGTACATAGGAAATTAGCATCAGGTTGTAAAAGTCTTGGTCTTATAATTATCAGCTTGAGTAGGAAGAAGCAAGATACCCAAATGTAGCAATATGCGTCAATACGGATTTATTTCTAAGAATATTTGGCAATCTTAAATCATTTTACTGACAAAAATAAAAAGGCACTGCGGGCTTTGATCTATGTCTGGGCTTAACTGCCTTAGAAATTGTCAGCTCTTACAACATTTACGATCTCCGTCAATAATTGACAGTGAGAGAGAAAGAAAGAGAGAGAGAGCGATAGAGAAAGAGAGAGAATTTTGGAATTGAGATTGAACTAGGCCAGTGGAAATTTCAAATTAACAGAGATATGAGAACCTACGATGGCAGTGGGACATGTAAACAGACCACGCCTCGTCAACCAGGTACTCATATGTATATGTAGATGTGTATGTATACCGTAATTATACAAGTGCGAATTAGGCATTTGCAGACAGCTAAGAATGATAGTCATGATTTGAATGCCGCCTATGTAGAAATCTATTTGCACATTTCTTGCGCTATGGAGCCCCGTTTATCTATTATTTGCTTGTCTAATCGTAAAGAAAGTGCATGGATGGGCGCGACTATATAAAGCAACGTTCAATGCTCAATTCTTAACTAGTCTCTGCAATATATTCGAAATGTTCAAGCCTTTGCTCTGCTGTCTCGTCGTGCTCTCTGGCGCCTATGCCATCAATCATGGTACCCAGGCTGCCGATTTTGCTGCATATATGGTGAGTCTTTAAGTTTGACTAAAATATTGAAAAAATAAATAAATAAATAAGCCAAGCAGTGTTTCCATTAAATATATATCGCTTTTGTTGCTCAGTGTTGAAAATTGCTATTATAAATGGTTAACAAGAAAGTGTGTGAATATGCAAAAGCATTTCCATCTGTCCATCCAGAGCTAGAGCGTGGTATACATATGTATAATCGTATATAATATCTAGCTGAATCTGATAAGCGACATCTATAACAAAATATATATAATATATATATAATATACATATAATATATTATATATAGAATTTTTTCTATTTAAAAATTATAAATTAATGAATTTAGGAACATCTAAAAATATTAATTAACAATAAAATACCAAAAAATATTCTTTAAATAAGCAAAATCCTGGAATTATATTTCATATTATCCTTCAAAAATGACCCCTTAAATTTATCACATCAATTAATATAGGCTAATCATTGCGGATTTCAACAGACATTCTACAATAAAGAACTTTTATTTCCCCTAAATACTAAATTATAATACCTACAATTTTCTCATTTCAGGCTAGATTTGGTAAAACCTATGCCACCGCAGCGGAGCAAAATGCTGCTCAGTACTACTACAACTATCACAAGAACCAGATAGCTCAGCAAAATGCGCTGGCAGATCGCGGAGCGAGCAGCTATCGAGTGAACGAGAATCAGTTCTCGGATATTAGATTGATAACGTTTGCAGCGCGCTTGCCGCAGGCTGTTTATCCCGCGACTTCAGGCAGTACAACGCCCGTCACCCCGAACGATGTAGCGCCAGCTGAGTTTGACCTGCTGAAGCAGTGGGGCGTAGAGGTGTTTGCCCCGGATCAAGGCACCGTGTGCAGCAGCAGCTGGGCCTATGCGGTGGCTCGTTCCATTCAAATACTGAATGCAATCCAGGTTGGACAGGATGTGCCCCTGAACAACTCCGCCCAGGCGCTGATCGATTGCGCCGGCATGGGCAATGGCTGCACCACGCAGGTGCCCCAAATCGCCTTTGACTATCTGCGCCAGGCCGGAGTCTTCTTGGTAAACGAGGCGGAATATCCCCCAAACAAAACGCAAAACCAGCAGGGCATGTGCCTGCCCCAGATGGCGGCGAGTCCAATCAAACTGGAGACCTACGGCACCATTCCCGACGGCGACGATGATCTGCTCATGCGCTACGTAGCCAGCGAAGTGCCCGTGATTGTGGAGTACAATCCGGCGACCTTTGGATTCATGCACTACAGCAGCGGTGTCTACGTGCCTCCGATGCGGGCTCAGGCCAGCAGCTCCCAGTTCCTGGTGGTCGTTGGCTATGGACACGATGCGGCGAGCAATCTAGACTACTGGCGATGCCTCAATTCCTTCGGCAACACTTGGGGCGAAAATGGCTTCATCCGAATCGTACGCAGCGCTGCCCAACCCCTTGCCAAGCGAGCCATTTTCCCCAACAGCTTGGGTGCGATTGCGACTACGCCTTCGACACCGACTACGCCTTCGACACCGACTACACCCTCTACAACTGCTCCCTCATCTACACCCCCGTCCTCATCCACTCCGTCTACCTCATCTAGCTCAACAACAACCACAACAACAACAGCTGCCCCATCTACCACAATCACACCATAATTATATTCGGAATACTTGAAAGTATTTAAAAAACAAATTTATATACATTTGTCTGTCTCATCTAGCATGAGCTTATCAAATTTCCCTCTATATATTTAAATATACAAATATCGTTAACAGGCTTTTGTGTGTTTTTCTATAGCTTTTCTGCTATAAAAGTTGTTTATGTCTTAATAATAATCAGCATCGATATCCAAGTCGCTCTACTTGCTGCAGTCTGAACTGAACTTTATTTTATCCTTAGTAACAACTCATCCACAAATGTTTTCAGAATCTACTAAAGTTTCTTTTACTGCTCTCTCTGATAGCAGTTGAGCCAACTTGATTTCTAAAAAAAAAAAAAAAAAAAAAAAAAAACATTAGTATAGACTTCTTCAGTTTTTATATGCCTGAAGTTTAAGGTAGCTTTAAATGCAATCCCAAGCCATAATTAATATTTCAAGAGCGATAAAGTAGATTCGATTGGTTTGTCGACTAAATTATTCTAACATGTATAAATATATTTTTACTCTTTATGTAAATTTTACTTGAAATTTTTTTATGATTGCGCAAATCTCGGTTGCTCTGATCTGTTTTAAAATTAGTTTATTACTCTTGATTTATATTTCTAGCCCAAACCCTTTTGTCTTGCAAATGTCACAATATATTTATTTGTTTTTAAATAATCAAATTCAATGTTCATATTTATTGTTGGAATAGACTCAAGGAGAGAGGCAGACAGAGGTAGATAAAATGATAAAAAGGCAAAGAGTAAGGGAGACAGCCAGCCAGAGAAATAGAAAGAGAGCGAAAATAGGTATAATACTTAATGAGCTCTTAATGACTTGCATATTCAACTATAAAATTTAATGAAGTTGTATTTAATAGGCTGTGGAAAAAAATAATGTCTTTTTAGCATATTTGTAATCACATTTAAAAGCAACGGAATTATTTATGGATTTCGTTGCCAAGAATCACACATAAAGTTAAAGCTCAAGCATATGTTGGGAATATTCCCACTACTAACACTTTCCTATACCAAAATCCCTTTTTGAGATTATTCAAAAGTTATTTTATTCCCTGAGGCCGTTAAAATTGGGAAAAAAGGGAATATTCTTGATCAGGGCGTCGAGCTAAGTCGTCAGTCGGCGTGTCTGTCCGTCCGTATGTCTAACTTGAGGTTTTACGAATATACATATATAATATACATATAATTGTCATTATCACATTCTGAAAGTTTGATTAGGTTAGCCCATCTACAAGAAAAAGTTAGAAGCATACAGGGGACCTCGTAGTCGAGCAGTCTCGACTAGAGAACTCTCAATTAAATCCCAAGTTGTTGGCCTATGATATTGACCTTAGCAGCCTATTAACGTATTCATAAAACAACTATTTAACACGTTAACAAATTAAACTCGATTTAGATTTCCATAAGACTTCATTGTTTTCTATACGCTGTCATCACTTATATTATTTAACTAATTACCGTATAACAGTTTGTTATGCATTCATATTGTTCGATGATCGATAAAATTATTAATTTTGTTTTGTTTTGTTGTTTTGTGAAAGTTTGTAACTTTTTTGTTTTGTTTTATTCAATTTTTGTATTTAGTTTATTTATTGATTTTTCATCTACAAGCGGAGCTTTACAGACTTAAACGCTAAAAATTAACAAGTTCACATAATTTGTTTTTGTAAATTGTTGTTGTTTTCTGTTTTTTTGTTTTCTTCTTTCATGTTGTCTTTTGTTTTGTTGTAATTTTTGCATATATAATTTTGTCTTTGGGTTTGCTTAGAAACTCATAAACCAAATATAAATTTCAAAATCATAAATTTCACGACTCAGCCAGCGCAGACAAAACACATACATTTTTTTATTATTTTGTATTATTATTGTTATAATATATGCAACTGTGTGTGTTCTTTTTCAAGGTTTATAGTATCTTTACTCAAATCTGTGTTCGAAACATTTATTTGGTTTTTATCATTAATATGTGTGTATTTATTATAGATCGGTTTACCTCATGATGAATCCAAATTTGCTGTTAATCCTCCATTTTTTTTTTTTTTAATTTTATATATCTTTAAATATTAAATAATATAATATATTATTTCATTCTGAGTTTTGTTTTATGGTTAGCATTTTGTTATTATACACATATATATATATACATGTATATGATTTCTCTATTATTAATTTACTTTAGAATCTCGTCACTCGTAAAGCAAAGCTCAATGATATGATTCACGCTATATATTTTATTTTTTATTTTGTTTGCACATTTGCTTTTGTTTTTATTTTTGCGTGTGTATTTGTGTGAAGTATGTGTTTGGTATGCGTATATTTTTATGAACTATAAAATAATAAATGGTTTCTTTGAAATTAATTTTTTTGTTACTGTTTTTTTAATTTTTTTTTTTTTTATATTTTTAAAATGTGATGTTTTGTTTTTCTTTTTAAACTAAATATAATATTTTTTTCATTGCTTTCTCAAATATGCACAAAATGTGTGTTTTCAATTTGTTTATAACAACGGCTAGTGTAATTTTGTTGCTGTTATTTAATGCACATTTACTCTTTTTTTTTTATTATTATTTCGTTCATAAATTAAAATTAGTTAAGTTTATCTACATATGCTCACAATGTTGTTATTTTTGTTCATATAATTCTTAATAATATTTAACTAATAAATATAATTTTATATCTCTATATATATATAGATTTATATATATATTTGTTAATGTATATAAGTATATTTATGTATGAAATAAATTAATGTATGTATGTAAATATATTTAATAAAATTTCCAATGTCATTTATATTTTGGTTTTGTGTTGTGTGTTGGCTAGTGTTTGTTGTTGTTTTTGTTGGGTTTGCACTGTTTTATGTTGACTGTACTTTGCCTATTGGCCGTGTCAGTATTTTAATAATAATAATATATATATTTTTTTAAATTTGTGCCTAACAATTTAAAAAAAAATAAATAAATAAATTAAAAATTAAAAATAAAATTATTTTATAATTAGACTTTATGGCTATAAAGGAAATAAATAATAATAATAATAAAAAAAAATAAGTTTACAAAAATTAAACTACACGAAAAAATTTGTTAATGCTCTTTTATTTTGTATTTTTAGGAAGATTTTTTATATTTAGTTATTTGTCTATTTTTATTTACTTTTGTTTTTGTATGAAGCTTAAAATGGACAAAATATGATTTTTATTATAATTTCTTATATTTTGTTTTTGTTTTTGTAAATAGTTTTTCTTTTTCGCTATATTATCTGCTTTTAGTTGAAATTTTCATATTATTCTATTTGTTTCCTTTTGTTTTTACTGCAATGAATCATAATTTGTTTATTCTTGAGATGATCTTGATTCCTAGTTACTTTGAAATACTATACTCTATTAATGTACTCATTGAATTAAGTTCTGTTAGATATCATATGAAGAGTTTGGTTTGGTTTAAAATTTACCGTTTAGGGCTCTTGTGTGTTGCATGTAAATATCGCGTCTTTATAGTTGCACTTTTCATTTTTATTTTGTTTTATTTTTATTCACTTTTGAAATTTTTGAAGAACAGAAACAATTGAAGAAGATTTTCGAAACTGTTTTAAATCTTGAAGTAATATATATATGATATATATATTATTTGAATATTTACTCGAGAAACTACAATTTATTTAGTTAAGCTTTTTCGGTTTTCATTTAAAGTTGGGCATGAAATTTGTCTTTTTTTTTTAATTTTTTTTTAGGCGGAGACATTTACTGGCAGTTTTTTGTTTAATTATTTCTTTTTTTTTGGATATACGTTCATAAAAAATTAGCATAAATTTAAAATGAGCTTATAAAATAAAACAATTGAATTAATTTTGACCGCCCACATATTTTGTTTATTTGTGTTAATTTTACATTTACATCATTAGAGGTACTCTTTATATGCATGTTTTTAGAAATGAGCCCAACAAAGTACAGAGAGATTTTTGTTTGTTAAATTTTCTTTGGTAAATGTTTTTTTCCACTTTACGCTTACGAACACATGTATAATTAATTAAATTAAATTAAACTATGCAACTTAATTAACTGGCCATCGAGGTAGATTGCCATTTATTAAACGAAAAATGCCCATGTGAACTCAAACTAGAATAAGACGAATTTAGATTCGGGGAATATTTATGATCTCTCGACTCTTATGCTAACACTGGTCATGAGGATCGCGAACCCAGTGGCCAGGGCGAACAACAAAGGCATCTGCGATGAACCAATGGCAGTGGCACCATTGCACAACTCCTGGGTGCAGGCGCAGTAGGTGGCGGAGACATCGTGGGTGCCCGAACGCCTTATGCACTCCTTGTCGGTGCGCTCATCGGGTATATAGCCACAGCCGCGCACAATGCGAGTCTTGCCATAAACTGTAAATTAGAGTTTATGTCAGCCCAATAGATAAGAGTATTTCGAAGAGCAAACAGATATACTTGCTCAACAATTCAGTTCTCTAATTATTCACCCGATTGCAATCAAACTTACTCTTCTGAACAGTCTTGCGGCACAGTATGGGCTTGTATTTGTCCTTCAGGTGCTCCAGAGGCTCCTGTTTGCTGCAGTTCACCTCGCCGATGGAGTAAGGCTGAAAGGGATCACCGCAACGTGGATCGTACTCGCTGTTGCAGTCATAGCACATAAGTGCCGTTGAAACTGTAAAGGGCAAGTGTAGAAGAAGAGAGAAAGAGACTTTAATACAAATCCATCCATAATCATATCAAATTGCATTATGTATATGTGAATGCCTCTGTGTCTGTGTGTGTGTATGTGTGCAATGCCACTCGTAAATGCCAGGGCTGCGTTGTCTAACAATGCGAGCCATTTGAAAAGCCAACGATATGGCTGCATGGGGCTCTCAGGGGTGGAGTGGGTGTCACTTTGGCATTATATTTGTATTGCATAAACCTGAGCGCTTACCTTGTATGCAGCACAGCACGCCTAACAACAGCAACGTTTTTTCCATAAATGGTGACATTTCAGCAGCTGTAGTTGTTTTTGTTGTTAATGTTCTTTTATGTACTTTGCACTTGCTTAGAAAACTTGTATTTTCTATTCAGCTGTCTATGAAATGCGGTAAATGTCTTTATTCTTATTTAACT